AACACATACCTGCATGTATATGTTTGTCTGCCTCTTGCTGAAAAAGCAAGTATTTGAGGCGTTTCGTTTGGGAAATGCCGTTTCATTGCCAAAGCGCCGTTTGGCAGTTGTTGCAAACATGTCTGCGAAGTCGGTCGGGAAAAGTCGCCTTTTGGTGGGAGAAAGTCGCCTATTGGTCCGAAAAGTTGCCTTTTCAATTGTGCGGGGTTTCTCCTAGAAAACGAAAAGCGCACAAATTGCCCAGAGGCACAAAAAGGCGCTGCAAGCACCAAAAGGCAGCGTTTTCTGAAGAGGCAAAAAAAATAGCACCTAAGGAAGACCCAGGTACATATATATATATATATAATGTATACAACAAAGAATGCAAACCCGCAAACACGCAACCAATCAAACAAGCGAACAAACAAACAAACAAACAAACAAACAAACAAACAAACAAACAAACAGACAAAAAAAAAAAAAAAAAAAAACCAAGCAAAACAAGCAACACAAGCAACAACCAAACAAACACAAACAAACAACACAACACAACACAACACAACACAGCACAATACAAACAAGCAAACAAACAAACAAACAAACAAACAAACAAACAAACAAACAAACAAACAACGCTGACAATCTCGCAGGCAGGCAGGCAGGCAAGCAGGCAGGAAGGCAGGAAGGCAGGAAGGCAGGAAGGCAGGAAGGCAGGAAGGCAGGAAGGCAGGAAGGCACGAAAGCAGGAAGGCAGGAAGGCAGCAAGGCAGGAAGGCAGGAAGGCAGGAAGGCAGGAAGGCAGCAAGGCAGGAAGGCCGGAAGGCAGGAAGGTAGGCAGGCAGGCAGGCTCGCAAAAAGACAAACAAGAAAACAAACAAACAAACAAACAAACAAACAAACAAGCAAGCAAGCAAACAAACAAGCAAACAAACAAAATAAGACAAGACAAAAGAAGTCAAGACAATACAATGCAAACAGGCAAGCAAGCAAACAAGAGAGCAAAAAGAACACTCCATCAGACCAACCAACAAACAAGCAATCCGAAACAACAAACAATCAAGACGCTGACAAACAGGCAAGCAGGCAGGCAAGCAGGCAGGCTGGCAGGCTGGCAGGCTGGCAGGCAGGCTGGCAAACAAACAAACAAAAAAACAAACAAACAAACAAACAAACAAACAAACAAACAAACACAAACAAACAAACAAACAAACAAACAAACAAACAAAAAACAAACAAACAAACAAACAAAAAACAAACAAACAAACAAACAAACAAACAACAGAACAACAACAAGCTAACTAAGGTAACTAAAAAAACAACGAACAAACACCCACCGCATGGCCTCGGGGTCGTCGAACTTGCTAAGGCCCAGGGGGTCAAAGAAGCCAAGAGGAGGCGTCACGCCCAGCTGACTGGAGAAGTCGACGGCCTCGGCACGGAGAGGGCTGTCGGTGTAGTTGGCCCAGTCGCCCCAAGCGGTTCCTGTCAGGCCGTCTTGGAAGAACATGCCGATGATGGCCATCATGGCCAGGCGGCCGTTCGCCAACTCGGCGTTCAACTTGCGCTTTTTCACCTCGGCATCTGGAGAGCTGATGGCCTTCCATCCATAGTCTCCCGGGGTGCCGTTGAACTTGTAGACGAAGAGCTCGTAGTACCCGGCAAAGGCCACGATCTGCGCCCACCCGTTGCCAGGAACTTTGGTAATCGCAGCAAAGCCGTTGGGCACGTCAGCGAACTTCAAGCCCATGGACGGGGACAAGTATCCTGGCCACTTGAAGTACTCTGGCACGATGTAGCCCATCGTGGCATACATGGCCACGCGGCCGTGCTTGACCTCCGTCTCCCTGCGGCGCTTGAACGATTCCGTGCTGCCATCGCGAGTGTAGCCAACGGGATCCCAAAAACCCACCGGGGCCTGAACTCCCAGCTCGGACTCGAAGGCTCGCAGAGGGCTGTCGGCGTAGTTCGCCCAGTCACCCCAGGCGCTTCCTGTCAGGCCGTCTTGGAAGAACATGCCAATGATGGCCATCATCGCCAGGCGGCCGTTGTTGATCTCGGCGTTGAGGCTCTTCATCTTCTTCTCCTTGTCCTCAATCTTCTTGCCGAAGGGCAGGCCGAATGCACCGTAGCCATAGTCACCCAAGACGTCCCCCTCCTGGATCTTCTGCAGGTTCAGGATCTCAATGACGCCGACGAATCCCACGATCTGCGTCCAGCCGATGAGCGGTACCATCGGTGCGGCCTTGAGGCCGTTGGGGATGTCTGCAAAGGCGATGTTCTGGGAAGGCGAGCAAAAGCCTGCGCGGCAGCTTGAGCTTGACCACCTCTAAATGGAAATCTATCCGCATCTCATTCGAACGGGTGATTGCACATGGATGAAAGTACACCACAGGCCATGCTCAGAAAGAAACAAAGATGCCTTGCCGGCCCTATCGTTCAGCCGGAACTTATTCTGGAGTGACGTCAAGTGAGCAAGTGGCTGAGTGCCTTGGAAAAGGGAGAGTCAAACATGTATTCTGAATGAGTGTCTCTCAAAATTAGGGACGAGGTTAGTTGCCTGTTGGTTTCCCTGTAAAACCATACCTTCAGGTATGACGAAAATGACTGCGACGTAGATTTGGGAAACCTTTTCCACATGTCAACGCAGCGACCACAGGTCTTTGCTGACCTGTAGGTGGCTTGCATACGTTGAGGAAGGAATGCTTGAAGCCACAATTCACGGTGGGTTGGTATGAGTGTACCTGGTCAAACTCTGCCAACCGACACAAGGCGTGTTTACCTCGAATTCATGCGCGAGGATACTCGCCCTATTTGAAGGTTCCCCCTTCTTGGAGACCCAGGCGTTGTGAAAAAAGAGAGAAAGAAAGAGAGAGAGAGAGAGAGAGAGAGAGAGAGAGAGAGAGAGAGAGAGAGAGAGAGAGAGAGAGAGAGAGAGAGAGAGAGAGAGAGAGAGAGAGAGACGTACTCTGGCCTGGGAAGCGCACGTACTCGGGGACAATGTAGCCCATGCACGCCAGCATGGCCACGCGCCCGTGCTGGATCTCGATGGTCCTCCGGCGCTTGAACTGCTGCTTGGCCACCTGGCCCGGGGCGGGGGCGACTCAGGGCTAGCGCCAGGAATCGGAGGGCACCCGTTTCAATGATGCCATGTCCAATCCTAACTAAGAAGTCAGCTCCAGAAAGGACAAAGAAGAAAGAAGCACTTGACACTCCAGATTCTAGATTCTGCTGAACCTGTGACGGTCTTGGCAAACTGCCCAGATAATGCCTTGCTCCGGCTTTGAAGTTGTTGGCTTGGCCAAACGACACCTACAGTCTCTGAACATGCCAACCCTCACCTCGGGGTCGTCGAACTTGCTAAGGCCCAGAGGGTCAAAGAAGCCCAGAGGAGGCGTCACGCCCAGCTGACTGGAGAAGTCGACAGCTTCGGCGCGCAGAGGGCTGTCAGTGTAGTTGGCCCAGTCACCCCAAGCGCTTCCTGTCAGGCCGTCTTGGTAAAACATGCCGATGATCGCCATCATCGCCAGCCTGTCACGAGCTAAAACCCATTCAAGGCGTCCTGTTCTGCAAGTGATGCTGAACTACCTCAAGAAATCTACCATGTCAGGCCTGACGCCAGGGAATTGGCGGCGTCAAGAACGGATTTTGCCCGCAACATCGACACAAAAGCGGCCTGCCGTTGGCGAGCTCCGCGCTCAGCTTCTTCTTCTTGGCCTCGGGGTCAGCGGAGGTGAGGACGTACCACCCGAAGTCTCCGGGCCGCCCGGAAGCGATGTCCGAGCCGGCGCCCCGCGACACCTACGCGCACCGAAATCCCTGCGTCCCATGGATTGGGCGGACGCGCCTTTGCGCAGAAACGGTCGGAGGGTCTGAGGGTGGGAGGGTGGGAGGAAAGAATAACACCACAGCCCTAACCCAGCCGACCTCACGACAAAAAGAACCGTGAAGTTGCAAATCCACCGCGGAGCTCAGGTCTGACTGGAGCATTGGGTAATTTCAACCAATAGGATGATCCAAAAAGGGGCATGGTTGCCATCACGTCTGCTAGCATTGCAATGAGAGGCCACTGAAAAATGAAGCTCTCTGAATCCTCATCTGTCATTCTGAGGTCATTCGTGTTCGGTCGGCACATGTGCTTCTCGCACATCCGAGATCGTATAAGGGAATCTCAGCTGGGGGCCTCTCCATTCATGATTGGTTTCCTAATGTTTCCCGACAGCCATCGAAAAGGCGGGAACCTCAAAATGCCACACATCCCCGCTCGGTCTCGCCAAGAGCGGTCTCGGCTCGCCTCGCACCAGCTCATGTACAGCAGGATCTGCGTCCAGCCACCTCCGGGCACCTGGCGTTCAAGGGCGGAACTGATTGCATGGCGTGAGTTGGTCTGGACATGTCTGGGCGGGGACGTTCAACGAATTCAGAGGTCCGATTGCACCAACAACTGTAGCGTTGCCTGAAACTCCACAGTCTGGCCGGTTGTGTTGGCGCCCAGAAAAGCTGAAGGTCCAAACTGGATGTACAACGACTGGCTTTGATGAACACAGGTTCAGCTCTCATTCAACCCCTCCACAAACAAAGCTGTGCAGGTGTTGTGAAGCTACACATATCCGAGCCAAAGGAAACACGCGGAGCGCCGCCTGCATTCACAACAGAAGACTCCAGCGCAATCACAACAACCTACGCGCGGTGCCCTTGTCCATTGAAAAACCAACACGCTCGTCCGGGACTGGCAGAGCGCCGGAAACCTCTTGAGGCTGCACTCGTATGGCAAATCAACAGCTTGTAAGCAAACGCAAAGTGCACAAACAAACTTGAAGAGCACTCGGCTGAAAGTTCGGCGATGCACCCTTGACAAGGTTGCTCTCCAAACCCCTGGCACCTTGGAGCAATGCTCGGCTACAACAGAGCACAAGTGCGAAAAAGGGCAAACATGGCAACCTGCCGCACGAGCAAGGCAATCCGCTTGAATTGAGATTGGGAGCAGGGGTTCCTGATGAGGAAGACCTCCTTGAACATCTACAGTATGTCAAGCAGGGATGCTCCAAACCAGCTATTGGCTCCAAAAAAAGAGGTTCGAAATAGCTTTAGAACGCTTCTTTTGCCGCAAAACGCCCAAGATGCCACGATCTCGCTTCTTCCAAACAAGGACATGCCTAGCGCTGCTTTCTGGCCCGTGAAAGCTGCGCGTTGCGCGTGATGGCCCCTTTTGCGCCTTGGAGAGGGCGGCAAGGCCATTGGGCACGTCCGCGAACTTGAGGCCAGCGCTGGGGCTCAGGTACCCAGGGAACTTGCCAGCCACCTCCCCGGAGGTTCGGAGGTGGCTAAATCCCCACACAAACAGCTTGACTCACCGGAGTACACCTATCCCCGGTGGCAAATCCTTCCCAACTCGACATCCTCCCAACATGGTCTGCGATGTATTGCGGTGCGCTTGAACACTTCCTAGTTGATTGACGACGCCCGCCGCAAAACTTTGCAGCAGCCCAGGCAAGGCTGGATCCAGTTCTGCGCACAACACACTCGAAGTGAAAAAGCCCAGGATGGAAGCTTGTAAAGCTTAGCATGGGCGGCATCAAGGCGGTATGCATCAATGAAAGCATCGAACGAAATGGTGGCTTTGGGGAGTTAATGCAAACATGCCCTCGCAAAGGAGCAAGGGGGCCGTACAAAGGTCTGAAACTCTCCCATGACTGGGAGCCAACTCTGCGAAACAGACTTCGCAAGAATCAGCATCGTACAAAAGCGACAAGCTGCCTGCTCTGTCACTCGTCAACGCAACGTGCCATAGTTCTTCACCACCATCAAGGGCTAGAATTGATGCAGCACAACAAACGACTACGCCTGAACCTCAGGTCAACCTTCCTCAACGCTGGAAAAGTACGAGAGAATGCGAGAAGCCACCCCTACACATCCGCGGGCCGTTTGCCAATTGTGCTCTCTACCGCAGAACCATATTGGCGCCGGCTTCTATCAAAAGAAAACAGACACATTCGCACGCCTCACACCTGGAACACAGCTAACCCCACACGTCTAAACACGTCTCGGTTCGCTGGAAAGCGGCTAAACCCTTCGGTTGTTTCTTCTTGGGTAGTCGACTGTTGCCCTCTCCGCCCACGTCGCCCACCGTCATCTGACCTTCACTCGGCCACTTCCTAAGGACCTCCTGTTGGTTCTTCTTCTCTCCTCCTTCCCACACGTTTGCACCGCGTCTCTGTTCCCTGGAAAAACCGCGGCTCTCCTTGCCTCGCATCATGTTGCCGCAGGTGACACCGTGCGCAACCCGACCTTCCCTCGGCTTCTTCCTACGGACGTCTCTGGCCTCGGGGGTGATGTAGCCCATGGCGGCCAGCATGGCGATGCGCCCGTGCTTCAGCTCCACGGAGCGGCGCCGCTGGAAGGTCTCGACGTCCCCGTCCTTGGCCAGGCCCAGGGGGTCCCAGTAGCCCACCGGGGGCTGCACACCCAGCTCCTGGCGTAGAACGCGCGCCTTTGGAGGCTAGCCTTTAAATGGCTCCAGGGAAACCAAAAGGGGGGGGCCTATGTTGAGACCACTGTGCTTGAAAGGCAACAGGGAAGCTTGGTGCCGCCAGAAAAAACAGGCCTAGCACGTGGCCTTTGTTTTGGTAGGGGAGGGGCACGTGTGAGCATGCTTCTGAAATGGATGTGTGTGTGTGAAGGAAGCGCGTGTGAGTGTGGTTGGGCATGGATGTATAGATATACAGTATACATATTTGGTGGAACCCCCCAAAAAAAACAAAAAAGAAGGGAATAAACACCCCAAGAGAATTTGACAGTATTTACACTACTTTTTGGTGAGTTAGGCACCTCAATATTGACCATCTAACTATGCCTGCATCTGCGCATTTGACTGAAACTCCATCCACCTAAGGCGCTTTAAAGCACTTTGAATCCAATATTTATGATTCAAGATTCCCAGGACTCTAGATCCTAAATCTTGAATCCAGTATGGGGCCCCCAAAACGCTTTAAAGCGCTTTAAAGCGCTTCAAAGCACTTTTGGATCTGAGATTCAAGATTCAAGATTCCCTTGACTCTAGATCTTGAATCTTGAATCCAGCATGGGGCCCCCAAAACGCTTTAAAGCGCTTCATCCAGGTAGCTCATTGGATGTGTGTAAAGCATTCTATTTTGGAGGCCTTCATACCGAAATTACAACTGTCTCGAGCGCAAGGGTTTGCGATGTTGATTTGGGTGTGGATTTGGAAGCTGCATGCCCTTCTTTTTCCTGACTTGGAGTTGGAGCATTCTAAAGAAATCCAAACTCGAGGCTTTTGCGCCCAGCATGCAAAGGCACGAGCCAATGAATGAACAAATGCGTGCATGCACGCATGAATGCATGAAGGAACGAACAAATGAATGTATGAAGGACCTTTTGAGGCACTAGAGCAATATATGGGCTCCGACCAAGGAAGGCTCCAACCCCTTCTTCAAGCGGAAAGCTTTGCTCTGGAAGTTTGGCTGAAGCGGCCCTTTGTCTTTCAAGGGGGTCTCACAAATTCCGTTCATCTAAAGATTTTTACATGGGCCATTGTTATGGGCCCTTGTTTTGTGGTTTGCCGGTGGGAGAGAGGATAATTCCAGAAGCACAAATCTACAAGTTTCATTTCAGCAAAAGGACGATCAAGGGTGTAAACATTCTGATTCCATGCTCAAGCTATGCCAGCATATCCGATCCAAATGACATGCCGGAGTCGACCCAAACCGCCGGAGCCCAATGCAAAGTGTTCCCGTAGCTCCTGCTCAAAGGCTCGCAGCGCCACAGCCGCCGCCGCGCGGCCCGCGCTGGGCTTCCGGCCCATGTTGCTCACCAGCAGCGCGCCCGCCGCGCCTACGCCCACCGCCGGCAGCGCAGAGAGTAGGGAGCTGTCCTTCGAGCGAGGCCGGGTATCGCACCCAAAAAAATAGGAAGGAAGGAAGGAAGGAAGAAAGGAAGGAAGGAAGGAAGGAAGGAAGGAAGGAAAGGAATGAAAGAACTCAGGCTGACGAATATGGTCAAACAGGTCATGGCCGAATATTCTCCAATTGCATTGTTTCCTGCTAAGGAAACCCGGGTGCTAAAAGTGATGGATCAGCATACACATTCTCAGGTGAGAGTGCAAGGAAGTGTCTGTTTCTGACTTGAATCCCGCGCCGATGCAAGCCGGTGTCTTCAAGCCGCACTAAGATAGACTACGTGTCTCGAAACAAAAGCATCAACCTGACACTGGAGATGCTGTCAGAGTACCACAAGAGGAGCAGAAGCCCTTCCGGGTCAGTCTTCTCAAGCAAGCAATGGGCAAAGAGCAAGACATCCAAGCAGCCCGGTGACTGAAGGCCATGATGCACACGTTGCACAACAGGAATAGTCATCTGAAAAATACTTAGTTTCACCGTGATGGAAAAGGTATGGAACTGCCGCGCGGCATCTCGCGGCACAGCCACGTAGCTACTCCCACGTAGCATCCTCATCTCCCTGTGTGTGTGTTGATCCAAGCTTCCAATTCACCCAAAAGTGATCCAAGAATGAACAGACGCCAGACGTACATCAAAGGTAAACGGCCAAAGGCGAAAAGCAAATCCGCCAGGTCCGCCTACCCCCCGCCCCCCCCCCCGCCCCCCCCCCGCCCGCTCGCGCCCGCCTGCGGCTGCTGATTCGCCGCCCCGCGCAGCGCAGTGCCCGCACTTCGTGCGCCGCTCTGAGGGGCCACGAAAGCGGCCCCGCCCAGCAGGCCGAGGCCGAGGGCTGCCTGGGGGCATACACCAAGAAAGCATGGATGGCAGCTGTCCCCCGTGGGTCAAGGGAAGTTGGCTAAACCCAAATGCAAAAAAAAAATGTGGCGTTCACCCGAACTCTCATGGGCACGTGACCACACTCAGCTCAAGCCGGACAGTGACGAGGACCCAGCCTTGGAGGTCGAAGGTGCCATTTGGACCTAAAAAAGGGGGCGGCTGTGAATAAAATTCAGCACGGTCGATCTTGAATCGACGGGACTCTGCCGCTTGAACCCAAAACTCCTGGACCGGGCGAGTAGAGCAATGACTATCCTGTCCTTGGCAACACGCCAGAAAGTATTCGGAAGCTGAAGACTCCTACAGCGGATTGCATGCCTCAAATCTGGATAAAGGTAATCAAAGAACTGACAAGATGTCTATGGACGGCCGCAAAGGCTCCGCATCCGAATCCCAACTCCTTGCGCACACGCACACGTTTAGAAATATGAGGATGTCACATATCATGAGCGTTTATGCTCCAAGCAATAGTCAATTAGTCCGAAAGTGGAAAATACAGCGGATTCCTGGTCAGCATAACTGAGGAAACACACAATTGTGCCTCCTCCAAAATACGTCCAGGTTCCAATGGAAGCACCAGCGACCGAGAACATTTACACCAACCGCAGTCTTGCCAGGCGAGGTCGGCTTGGGGCCCTTCTCAGCGGACAGGCTTTTGCCTTTGGCTAGTGAGGCTGTACAAACGCCGAGTCCAGAGACGCCGTCCAAGAATCTCCTCATCCCGCTGCTACTTGTCCAACGACCTGCCACCCGCCATCTCCCCGGTGTGGTGTACTGTCCTCATCCTCTTATCTCATGCTGCACACGTGTGAGGTAAGAGCCGAGTAACTGGAGCAATGCGCTACAACAGCAAATTCACTGTGAGCCCCGCGTGTGAACGTACAGCAAGCAGCCTTCAGACGCCACTGTAATAATGCAGGGCATGGACAAGCCCACACCCGTAGAATGCTGCAACATGCCAGCCGCTGTGGGTCGCCAGGTAGACTGGCTTCGAAAGTCCCGGGATCTCAGAAAGGCCCAGGAAAATCAAGGCGAGCAACGCCACGGGCAATGTCTCCGGCCAGACCGTGCGGCTCAGCAGCCGCGGCGCGGTCCGGCAGATCAGGAGGCCAGCGCCCACTCGGTCAAGGCCAAGCAGCGCACGCGATGTGCTGTGGGAGGCGCCGTAGCCCGCCATGCCGTGCTTGTGCGACTCGAACAGGTGGTACACAAACGAGGCCGCGCCCGCAAAGAATGCGAGCCAAGCCGTCGCGGTGTCCCCGTGGTCTGCGGCCACCATCACCGGGAAGATGCAAGCGAGGTTGGTCAGGGCGAGGGCCAGGTTGGCATGCGACATTGCTGGCGGGAAGATGGTCAGCGCGATGACCTTTCAGTGGTGCGAGCCTGTTTGGGAAAGCCGAATCTGTCGTCCTCTCTGTTCGGCCGAATGGCGGACCTGTTTGTGCGTCTGTGCTATGGGTGTGGGGATGGTCAGAGGAGGTCATGCCGTGGGGAGACAGCTGTCGGGCGCATAACAGGGCGGAGCTAACCAGAAGGGCAAGTCCTACCAAAACGGTAACAACTGCCAATGCATTTGCCAATTTCATACATCGCGAGTCGCCCCATCAAGTGGGAGTGCTTTCACATCGCAAGGGGCCCCTCTGCGACTCTTCCACTTGGAAAGGAAAGCAGTTTCTGGCACATCCGGAATCCATTCCCGGATCAAGAGGGAAAAGCACAAAGTAGACGTATGGCACAACTCCCTCGTCGGTACAGGGGATGACGCAATTGCGGCATCTACTTTCACGCAGCGGTCGAACATGTCCCTCCCTTCAGACCGTTCCCGGCCCACCTCAAAGCTTTGCGTCGTCGCCTCACTCTTGCGTTCCATCTCCACCACCTCTGTGACGCCGGGGTGTAGCGAAGCAAAAGGGCAGGTCGTGTGTGTGTGTGTGTGCATATGAATGTATGTGCATGTGTGTGTGTGTGTGTATATGTCAAAGAGTCAAAGTGTGTCTTTGTGTGCACCAGTATAGGGAGAGTGTAAGTGTTTTAGGAATGTGGGCAAGCGGCTGATGTGGGCAAATGCGCTCAATGACGAGGACATGCGGCTCAACCAGGACCACCCCACCCCCTTCCCAAAGCAACCGACAACAATCAAACAGCAAGCCAACCATAAACCTTGTTGCCAGCTGTTGCGCAACATGTTGCGCAACATACAATATTGTTCCCAGAATTTCTTACAGGAGCGTATCCCCCACGTAGGTGAATGCTGTACACTGGACTCAAGTGCATGACTAATTTGCTACAATGCCCCATTCAATAGCTGGAATGCCATGCTGGGCTCTATATCATCCTGAGGGTCTCGCCATGCGTTTGATATGTGCGTGTGTGTGCATGAGTCGTATCCCAAACATATGTTGAAGGCATGCAAATAATCCTTTATGGATGCTGTTGCCTGACACAAGCTTTGTAAGCTGGTATCACTTGCGAGTGCTATAGTTATCAATCCGGTTTGGATTTCACTGCACATGTGTTGTAGCATTTTAGCAATATGTGTGTAATAAGGGGATGGGCCGGTTTAGACGCTTTATCGGAGAAACACAAAGTTCTTGGAAAAAGCATCTAATCTAACTTCTGTGAAGTGGGCTTCTCAAAAAGTTGTGGATCCCAACATTTACAAAGCTTGCTAACAATTCAACTAAAGCTATTCATGTTGCGAAACTGCCGAGCTGTAGCACGGTTCACCTGGAATTTAAGTTGGAATTCCTTTCCAAATAAGTCTGGACAGCACTCAATTGGACTTTGAGAACCAGATTTAGATAGGAATTCCTTCCAAGACATGCCTTAAGTTGAATTCAATACAGAAAGAACTTAATTTGGCCTTGGAACACAAACTTAAATAGTATTTAGTTCCCACATATGATTTAGATTAAATGTGGCTAAAGAAAAAACAACGGGCCAATATCCCAGATTCCAAGGATTTGGTCTGGAGTTTTAGTTGTTTTTTGGGCTGGGCAGGAGGGCTTCCATGTTCAGAGCTTCTCTTTGGGGGGAAGGTGGGGGACGGGGGGGGGGGGCTGTACAGGTGTCAGAGCTCGAAGCTGCGAAAAAAGTGCTGTTCCAATGTGTAAAAGCAATGTTGTCAAACAAAGCCAGACTTGATTCCAAAAACGGAATCCGTTCTCGACTTACTGCCTTTCAATCCTGAAAGGACCAAACATCTGCTACCGTAAGAAAGCAAACATTTCAACAAAAACACTGTATTTTACAGTGGTTCAAACACGTAGAAGAAACAGACACGCAGAGTAGATACGACATATATATATATATGTATTTATATATATATGTGCACATGTGCACATGTGTATATGTGTATGTGAATATCATGTTGTGTATGAGTGCGTGCCTGCTTACACCTGTAACTGTGTTGTGTTTGAGTGTGCTACATACATGTACACATGTCTGTGTATTGATGTGTTCTGTGTCAATGGGTATCTGTGTATCTATGTAAATGTGTATCATGCATATGAATATTGTGCATACATGCGTGTGTATATTTGTATATGTGTATGTTCGTATATGTTTATGAGTGTACATGCGCGTGTACATGTGTGTGTGTGTATGTGTGTGCATGTGTATGTGCATGTATATGCATATGTAAGCATGTATGTATGTATGTATGTATGTATGTATGTATGTATGTATGTATGTATGTATGTATGTATGTGTGTGTCTGTATGTATGTACGCATGTGTACGTAGGTATGTATGTGTGTATGTGTGTATGTGTGTATGTGTGTATGTGTGTATGTGTGTATGTGTGTATGTGTGTATGTATGTATGTATGTATGTATGTATGTATGTATGTATGTATGTATGTATGTATGTATGTATGTATTTATGTATGTATGTATGTATGTATGTATGTATGTATGTATGTATGTATGTATGTATGTATGTATGTATGTATGTATGTATGTATGTATGTATGTATGTATGTATGTATGTATGTATGTATGTATGTATGTATGTATGTATGTATGTATGTATGTATGTATGTATGTATGTATGTATGTATGTATGTATGTATGTATGTATGTATGTATGTATGTATGTATGTATGTATGTATGTATGTATGTATGTATGTATGTATGTATGTATGTATGTATGTATGTATGTATGTATGTATGTATGTATGTATGTATGTATGTATGTATGTATGTATGTATGTATGTATGTATGTATGTATGTATGTATGTATGTATGTATGTATGTATGTATGTATGTATGTATGTATGTATGTATGTATGTATGTATGTATGTATGTATGTATGTATGTATGTATGTATGTATGTATGTATGTATGTATGTATGTATGTATGTATGTATGTATGTATGTATGTATGTATGTATGTATGTATGTATGTATGTATGTATGTATGTATGTATGTATGTATGTATGTATGTATGTATTATGTATGTATGTATGCATGCATGCATGTATGTATGTATGCATGTCTGCACGTCTGCATGTATGCATGTATGCATGCATGCGTGTATGTATGTTGTGCGAACCATTCCTTCCCCATTTTAACAAATTTGGCCTACTAACAAATTTAATAAATACTGATTTTGCCAGACCGCCGCGTGCCAAGACTACTTTTAGAATACGACAATTCTAAACCAATACCAAACCTTCCCACCAATCCCGCCACCAGTCATATTAGGGGGTAGTCAAACACATTTGTTGAAATTCAATGTTAATATACCTTTCCCAATTGAACTGATTTCATTGAAATTCCAGCTTTGAACCGCAAAAAAGAAAATAACAACTTGAACAGTCTTCTTTAGATTCTACTAGGAAATTGTGAATTGGACGGCTTTGTGTCCGGGAAAGGGGGGAGCCCATTACATATGCCTGTGTGTGTGTGTGTGTTTCCTGTTTCTGAGGTGTTGTGTCGTGTGTCATGAAGCAAAACCCAAAACTTGCCAGGCACTGACATCTTGAAGGCAGCTTAAACCGGCAAGCAGACTCTAGAGTTTGTCAACACAGGCATTGATCTTTCGCGAACACTCCAGTGATCGTGAGGCAGCGTCAATCGAACATTGCTTTGCTCCAGCGCTGCTCTTTGAAAAAATCCTCTCCCTGTGCCCACTTGGCCCATGTCGACTTGGGCTTCTTCCACCTCTAGGGCCAATCAAAAGGCCAACGCAGAAAGTCAGGAAGTGTTCTCACCTCCTAACGCAGGAAGGTTCTTGAGATGATCGAAACATGGGGGTTGACCTGGTCGCTTCTCTCTCTCTCTCTCTCTCTCTGGGCCGAACGCTCGAGGCCCGGCCCGTGCCTCGATCCGCAGCTTCCTGCGCTGATCGGTCTCCTGGCCCCAGCAGCCCGGGGGCAGTGGGACCAGCAGCCGCTGGCCTCCCATCTCTCCGAAGGCCGTTGGGCCGACTCTAGCCTTAAGGGGTAAGAAGAATACTTGTTTACGCCCTAGTTTACTCCCGTCATTATGAAGTTTCCTTTTACACTCCCGACCCAATTCAAAGTAGTTCGCGCCTTGTGGTCTTCCCAAGGGCAAATAGAAACAAGAAACACATGGAGATTCCAGGGGGACGTCCCTCCCCCCAAATCCATCTCGGCATGCTGATCCCAACTGGCCCAATGCGAACTCTGTGACGCGGGCCACATCCCAAACCGAACAACTCAAGAGTCTTCAGCCAGGGGAATGCCAAAATCTGAAATATCGGAAACGTGCCAAATTAGAGCGGATCCCAAGAATCATGCAAAGTGGTGTGGGCTCTGCTCAAACATAATCATTCAAGGCCAAGTGGACATTTCTTAGCTCCAGCCTGCAATGCGCCCAAAGCGAGCAAGCAAAACAAGCAGACCCAACCACCAGACGAAATAATCAAACAACCAAACAACCCAAGCAACCAAGCAACCAAGCAACCAAGCAACCCAAGCAATCAAGCAACCCAAGCAAACAACCAGAAACACCACCACACCACAGCACCCAACCTCATGCCAAACCAACCGACTAAACAAACAAAGAACCGAGCAACCAGCCAACCAACCAAGCCAGCCAGCCAGCTAACCAACAGCCAGCCCATGAATCACCAAGCCAGCCACCCAGCCAGCCGGCCAAGCGGCCAAACAAACAAGCAAGCAAGCAAACAAGCAACCAACCAACCAAACCAAACCAAACAGAACAACACTGCCAAGCACACAGACGAACACACACACACACACACGCACACGCACACGCACACGCACACGCACGCGCACGCGCACGCACGCAGGCACGCAGGCACGCAGGCACGCAGGCACGCAGGCACGCAGGCACGCAGGCACGCAGGCACGCAGGCACGCAGGCACGCAGGCACGCAGGCACGCAGGCACGCAGGCACGCAGGCACGCAGGCACGCAGGGCACGCAGGCACGCACGCAGGCACGCACGCAGCACGCACGCACGCACGCACGCACGCACGCACGCACGCACGCACGCACGCACGCACGCACGCACGCACGCACGCACGCACGCACGCACGCACGCACGCACGCACGCACGCACGCACGCACGCACGCACGCACGCACGCACGCACGCACGCACGCACGCACGCACGCACGCACGCACGCACGCACGCACGCACGCACGCACGCACGCACGCACGCACGCACGCACGCACGCACGCACGCACGCACGCACGCACGCACGCACGCACGCACGCACGCACGCACGCACGCACGCACGCACGCACGCACGCACGCACGCACGCACGCACGCACGCACGCACGCACGCACGCACGCACGCACCCGCACCCACACCCACACCCACACCCACACCCACACCCACACCCACACCCACACCCACACCCACACCCACACCCACACACACACACCATATACAAAACAGACACACACGCACTCACGCGCACACACGCGCACACACGCGCGCGCGCACACACACACACACGCACGCACACGCACACGCACACGCACACGCACACGCACCTGCACCTGCACCTGCACACCTGCACACCTGCACACCTGCACCTGCACCCACACACACACACACACAGAACAGCTACTGCGGGAATTCCATTGCCAAGCGCCTCAGATTGGTCTTAGCGTGAGGCGCCGCAAAGCTCAGGCTGAGACAAACTCTTAAAGAGATGCAGCTGGAGCTCCATTGACAGATCGGGTCTGAGGGAGCTTCCATGTTGGAGGGAGCTTCCGGAAGCAAGTCTTAGTTTCGCAGGGAGAGTTTAGTCCGGCTAGTCTTTGGGCTCTTCCGGCGCGTGCCGCCTGTTTTCCCCCTGGGCTTCGAAGCGGCGCGGCGTGCGCCCCGCACCCTCGAAGCGGATCACGTTGGGGTCGACCAAATGGGGCGGCAGCCTGAACCCGGCAAGGGCACCGGCCTTGCCGTCCCTCCCGTGTAGCACATCAATCCATGTCACTATTTTTGGGTGATGGTGATATGAATTGATTTGATGAATATCGCGTTGTGCTGATCGATGTTTACAAGGCATATTAGTACTTGGAGCCCATGCTGACTGATGAGATACGAACCAAAAGTCTGGAGGTTGCCACAGCAGCCGCTCCAATCTTGCAAATGGGGGGGACCTCCACACTACACACGCATCACTCGAAAGACACTCTTCAGACCCTTCAGCCGATTCCTTGGGCTCTGAGGCCACTGATTCTTGCAGGCCAGGGACTCCTTAGAGTCGACTTTCGTCATGGAACCAAGCTGGCTCTTGGCCCCCCAAATCCGCTCTGCAATCAGATCAAAGAAACAGAAGGAATCAAAACAGGACCCCTAACATCCCAACCAGTTGGCCTCCCACTGCCTCTGGGCTCCCGGCACTTGAGTCCACTGGGGCTTTGCGCGGTGAAGGACCTCCCACTCAGGCACCAAGAAACCCGCGCCGACAACCCGCCATCGGATTTGCATGGCACTGAGAGTTGCGACAGCGAGACACCAAAAAATGAAATTAGATTGAAGAATGCATGGAAGACAACTAGCAGATCCTCGACCCAATCCGGCATGCGGGGCCCTTCGACATCTCTTGTTTTCGTCCCGTGCGGTAAAACAAACACGTTCCCAAGTTGTTCATGGCCTAGAGAGCGTTCAACAATGGCTGCAATGCCCATCAGCCTGGTGTTCCTCCTGAATAAGTGTCGCGCCTGCAAAAGAGCTTGGTGTCTCATCCGTCTTTCGTTTCAGGACAACATTGGGCCGTGCCGACAAAAGGCACTGAGTGGTTCAAGGACCAGCGGATCGCAGCCACGAGATTTCCGGCTCGGATCAGAGAGCCCGGCAGAGCTGGACACCGAGATCCCGCAGACGCTGGCGCGCACATAGTAGCTGAAGCTCGTGGCCTTGGGGGTGCGGTTGGGGGGTTTTTGGGGCAGAGGGACCCAGAAACATCGATGGGGTTTTCCTCTGAGCCAAATTTGGCCGATTTTGGTTTCAAGTGGCCGCACTGCTTCAGCCGTGCGCGCTTTGAGGATCTGCGAATGCTTCAAGCGGCAAAAGCCAAGATCACATTGGTCCCTTACCGAAACCTCGCTGCCCAAGCACCGAACCTTGAAACTTGATGAGCGAAACAAAAATCGCATGAACTCCGCATGGGATACCAAGCTTGCATGGCCCAAACATAAAACATGAGCAGCTTGTCTTGGCGTGCCCTGGTGATAGGTGAACAGGGAGAGTAACATTGAGCCAACCCAAGGCGCAACTGAGCACAAGAATCCAATTGTAATCATCACAAGTGCCATCCATGCGCAAAAGCCACGAGACGCGCAAAATGATGTCTCAAAGCTGCTTGGAATGGTGAAATGGTATTGGTACTAGAAACAATGGAAATGACAATCATGCAAAGGCATGGGAACAAAGAGCATTCTGAAAAGGTCTATTTGTGTTGGATGACATCATTGGGAAGCTGAGGGTGGTTCTGTGTGCAAGCATTGCCATTTCGGGCAAACCGTCTGTATTCCATAATGGAAATGATCTTGTCCAGGGGTACTGACAACCGAATCCAAATTGCAAAGGACTATGCTGGTGGGTATCTTCGTTGCTTCTGCTCAGAAGCATGCATAGCTGTAGCTGTTCCTGCTGCATGTATGGTTTGCAGCAAGTGTTGATTCTTGACGACTGCAACAATTGTACTGGATACGTTGGAAAAGTGCTCAACAGAACTGAGATAGTTGCGAGAGAAAGCTCTGAAGAGCCCTCTTCTCATGCCAGCTATTTCTGTGAGTTGGTTGCATGCATCACCCCAATGCCCAATTCCTTCAACGAGGCTCCGGGCCTTGTCCGGGGCCTTGCTTTTTGGCGTCAAGCGAAAAAGCTGGGACTTGGTGGAGAACCCATTTGCAGACGTGGACCTTGAGGCCCCACGCTGGAAACATTTTAAAACGTTGTTCCGTTTCAGTGGAGAGCAGCTACGCCTGCTTCCGCCTTTGTGTCAGGCTGACAGGATGACCTGCAAAGCCTAAGCCTTTTGCAGGCTGTGTTACCAAAAGGTTAGCTGCCGTCAGACCTCAACACAGCACAATAGGCCGAAATGCCAAAACCATGACGAGTCCGCTCCATCCTGAGATGAAGTCACCAAATATGTAGCCGTATGAAACTCTCTCCGTGGCCGGTGGCCGGAAAAGCCTTCCCTGGCTGATCTACCTTTCTGAACAAACAAGTGAAGAGCTGCTAAGCTGGTTTCCCGAGTCACATCCAGAGTCCATGTGCCTTTCACTCCCCATGGACTTGCATTCAACTGCTGCACTCTCAAAATCGCGAGAGACCTGGAGGGATAGCTTTCCAACAGCCACAAGGACTGGTGATTGAGTCTGGGTGGCTTTCAGCTTTCTGGGGTTGCACTTCTGTCGATGACATCATGCACCCTCCACAAACCGTCCGACACTGCGAAACCGCACCCGTTTTTCAGCGCCCTACCCTCAGTCTGACTCGCCAACAACACACTACAACGGCATCCTGCCAAAATGCCCTGTCGCATTCCGGCCCACGTCAAAACCACCCCTCTTACTTGAAGTTAGAACGCCTAGGCCCTATATCTTCGCCATCCGTCAACGAAATCTCACACAGGAAGGATCATCGACCATCTCTTGCATTTCTTGGTTTGCGTCTTCAGACTTCTGGCCATTGTGAGGTTGGACTTCCCACAAGACCCAAAGGGTCCCCCCCCCCCCCCAAAGAGTCAAAATAGGAAGACCCCAAAAATGGACTTTGGTCTCCCTTTCCTGACAAGGGTAACTCCAAAACACCCCACCCCCTATGAATCTCATACACACACCGCCTACAGCCCTCAAAACACACACGCTGAAGGATCGTTGTCACACACGCTGAAGGATCGTTGTCCCGTAAGAGAATGAAGTTGAAGTTGAAATTGAAAGGTCCTGAGTGTTGAGACACACACAGACATATATATATATATATGTAGATATAGATGTATCATATTATATATATATTATATATATATATATGTTTTCCACGTTGGACCGATCCCTATCTCCGTCCTTCTCCGCTGGGGGAAAGCTCAAGGAGCTCAGCGTGAGCTCCACAAAGTTCGCCACGTGGTCCGGGCCTCGAAATCCGCCGAGCGCTGCGAAGTCCCCAGGCCCCAAGCTGACGGGCGCGAAATCCTCAGTTTGTACCGGTTTCCGATGACTCCCCTGTAAATACCGACAATGGCGTCCCCCATAGTTTCCACATGCACTCGGTTCTTCCACGGGGAAAAGAAGGGAGCTTGGACTGGTGGCTCAAGCAATTCTGACTGATGTGGATTGGTTCGGATTCGCGATTTGGATGCGCCGAGGGCGCACACCAGGTCCCTTGGATTCATTGAGTTAAGTTGGAGCCAAGCGACTGTTGCAAGCTCACTCAAAAAACCGCGTGCCACATCAAAGAAACAAACCTCCCCCTTGTCCCTCCCTTTGGCGGGTCGAGCTGACGTCAGGTCTTCTCAAACTGGGAGATTCTGGGAAGCCAAAGCCGAGGGATCATTTCAAAGAGGTACCCCATCCATGTCCCAAGGCCGCTTTGGGCCTTTTCCGAAGCGCCTCTCCCGGGCGCCCGGGCGGAACTTGCCCGCGCCCAGGCTGGGATCGAACCAGGCCTCCAGTCGGGGGCGAATCACCAAATCTCGACTCACAAAAAGGGTCTTTCAAAAACAGGGCAACACGCAGAAAATGGCATTTGCGGAAGATGAAACCAGAAACCGGACCAGCCCATGGTGCATCCCGGTGTGTATGTTTTCAGTCATGTCTGCTACTGGTAGGCCAAATGCTAAAAACCAGCTCGTGGACCATTTCTGAGATCGTCATCCATTGCTAGTGTTTTTTTGGGGGAGACAACACCACCACTCTTTGAGTCAGAACGAGCTGCCAGCGCAGCATTGTCCCTTGTGCGACAAAAAAGAGGCCCCCATTCACTGGTGCAATTTTAGTGAATGCCGTCGCCTCAAGATCTTCAAGCATTGAATATGGTTCAGTGATATTTTGATGATGATGATGATGATGATGATCTCTGAGGCGTCGGCGGCTCGGTTCGAGGTGAAGAGCGTGGTGTTGACTCCACCTTCGCCGTGAGGCCGGCGAAGGTTGGCTGCTTTGGCACTGCCCATCATTCGACCCGAGTGGTCGGCTTCATGGCAAAATGGTTTACCCAATGCAAACAGTGGGGAAGGCAGGGCATTTTGTCACGTTGGATTGCTTTTGAGAAGGTAAGGTGGAACGTCCACAGAGAACTCAAGATTATTTGATACATATGCATTGGCGCAGAGCAAGTGGACAGAAGCAAATGCCTGATTATATACTTTTTAGAACTCACCTGCCACAAGGACACGGCAATGCACCTATCTTACTGACTGGCTCTGTGAATGCTTGTAGATTGCGTCGCCGCTGGGTGGTGGTAGCCCAAAATCAAAAACAACGAGGCTGAGTACAAAGGGCACGTGTCAACTTTTAGTGGGTGTCTTTCACTGGAGTCGAGGCGCACCCTATTGCAGCCCATATTCTATCACCAGGTCTTCGATGTCCGGTCTTTGCTTTTGTGAGAAACTGCTACATCACAGCAGGCGATGCCAGGACGTCAAAGAGGAAAGCAATACTACATGTTGCACGACTGTCTCATGTGGGTTAGAAAGGGCATCCAACGCGACTTTCATCTTGCGCATAAATTCTTGTGGCACGCGCTTATTCCTTGTCCTTCGGTGTTTGCAAACACAACATGGCTATTTGTCAAAACTGGGCACTCTCCAGATGGTGTCAACCAAACAGCTACCTTCTTGCCGGACAAAAATGAGGGGGGCAGAATGGCGTACATCCAGAAGAAGAGAAGAAAAAGACCCACGGGTAGGATTTCCCCAAAGACTCCACAGGTGCCTGTCGAGTTGTCGGTGTCTTTTACATCGGATCACAAACAGATCCGACAAAACGATGATGTTGCATGGTTATCATGCCAAAAAGCAAGTAGGATCTGTGCATGTGCAAATCCAGTTGAGTGTCTGGGCAAATGGTCAAATCAGGACTCTCGTTGTGGATAAATGGCCGCTTGCACCAATAGTTTTATCATGCATACCAGGCTTGCTTTCACACAGGAGGGCCGCGTACGTTACACTGCAAGGCAGAGTGCAGGCCTCACGTCAGGAAAAAATCAGCAATGTTGAAAACGTGAAAGGCTTCTCTTGCCGTTCCCCTCCCTCGACAAATGATGCAACATGAGAAACCAGACTCAAAGGGCGGGCTTTCTGGGAACTTCCATTCTTGCCACTCCTGTCATTTTTCTAGAAAACGGTTTGGAGGTGACTTCTGTGGATCCACCACTGCAGAAACTTAAAAGAGTACCAAAAGATCTGGATACAGAACAGGTCTCCACGAAAACCGCACATCCAAAACCGTTTTCCACGAAATGCTGACCAAACACGGGGCCTCGACCATAGGTGGCCTTTTGGAAAAAATAGAATAGCCCTCTTAAATGGAACAAAACCCGTCTAAACCCGTGCCATCTACTTTTAACCAAACCGAACCTAAGGACGCCTATGGCCTCTGGTAATGCCACGACGTCCCCAGCTCGGCCTCCCAGGAGCTCCGGGGAGCAGCACGGCAGCGGCGCCCCCGGCTCACCCGCCGGGTGCTGGGCGTGCGGGGCGCTCCGGGAGCGCTCCGGGAGCGAGCCGGTGACGCGGACGAGTCGAAAAATGGGACATCCCTTTTTTTGTTGGGGGAATGTCCAGAAAATGGGAATTCCGAATTTCACCAAAAAGGGAAATTCCGTTGGGAATGAGCTTTTGGGGAATTCGGAGAGGCAAGCTCTCGGAAGGGTCCCGGTTTTGGGAATTCGGTTTTGAACCTCTTGCTCAAAGCGAAGAAAAAGACGAGTCCCGGCACAATGAAACAGGCACAACCACAATGTCACACGAAACCAAGGGAAAGTATGCCTTGAGGCCTGCATGGTTGGGATTGTAACGGCAACATGTATGAATATAACGTATACGAAATGATGTATGGTATAAGTAGAATAATAATAGTGTATATACTACAGCACAAACTATCATACTACACTATACCATACTACACTACACTACACTACACTACAAAACAGCATAGAATAGAAGTTTGATCCGATATCATGTAACACATCAAAATACAATATCACATAGTATAACCAAATACAATACAAGGTATCATAACAGGACACAATACAAACTTGATATGATTTCAGATACAGCATAACATAACAAAATGCAATATAATGTGATGTAATGTGTTCATCATGTTATACAATATGGTACAATACTGCACAACATAGTGTAATAAAATGTCATAAAACATAATGTAGTACCATAAAATACAACAACACAGCGTGGTATCATAACATCTTGGATCATTCATACATACCATTATATTATCATATATATATATATATATATATGTATAATATATATATATATATATTATATACATGTATGTATACGTGTGTGTGTAGATGTGGTGTCAGCTTCTCGGGAGTTCGGCTGCCGCTTCGTCGCGCTGCTCACACCTCACCCCTCGCCTTCTTGGACTTGTCCTCGAAGCTCTGGGAGCTGAAGGAGACGTTCACCTCCGCCAGCACCTCGGGCGGGCGGGGGGATTTTTTCGGCTGCCCCGTCGACGTGGCAGGGGACAGGAAAAATGCGGCGCCGGCTATTAAAGGGGACCCTCAAAAGGGGAGTACATGTTGGTGGACTGGAAAGTTCCCTAAATCTTGGTAGCTTCTTTTTGATAGGGTGGGAAAGGCAATGTTTCTCGGGACAATTGTGACCCTTTACGGAGCCCTGCACGAGATTGATTGAACTTGTCTTGTGGCAATTGCAGCAATCACAATGTTGTCCTTGGGTTATGTGTTCTTCGGGGCCCCGCAACAGCAAACTCCCAAGCCCTACAAGCGCTTAAACCTACACCTAATCGGGCCCCGTTGGAGCCCGCCTTTGGGATTGCTGCAGGCAAACACACCATTCTTTCTGGTAGCTGTGCATTCAAAAAGAAAAAACATTTCATCTTGCTGATTGGTCCCTTATTTTTCGGAAAAAAAAATGCTGAAAGACATGCTGTCATGCTTGGCACTGTGCCCCGCACCTCCTCCTCCATATCCTTGGCCTCCTGGGCAACATGGAGCACAGAAAATACGTCAAATCTGCTGGCAGGAAGCCCCGCAACCAAGTTCCATGATTCCATGCATTGCATTTCGGAACAACAAACAAGGGAAAATCCTCGGATACACAATATATCCTCACCCTTCGCATGTCAGCTGATGACCAGCTGATAAGAAGAGGCGTATTGGTGTGCTGCGTGGTTCATGCCCAAAATGCGTGTTAGTACGGGTCAAGTGGATCCTGCACCAACACCTGGGCCTGTTCAAACAAAGATCAAGCATTGTTTTACAACTTTTGCTATCGTTGGACAACTATTTAGGTGGTCCGTCTCCTTTTCAGAGGCCAAATTGGAATGCAGTGCTTACAGGAAAGAAAGCAGGCACGTATCCGGTTCAAGCTGCCAAAGCTGCTGAAGCAAGCTGCCTGTGGCTGGCGCTCCCAAGAAAAGAAAGAAGAAAAAAAAACAGCGTGCCTTTTGAAGGTGACTCGTGGGTCCCATCCGAAGATCGAACTCCCAGGTCCTTCTTCTTGATCTCGTCAGTCTTAGCCTTCGGAGACACGCCTGCAAGTTTCAGGCTGCAATGGCGCATGCAGCTTGCGGCATCCCGAAAGCCAAACATGCCGTTTAACTGGTTCATCCTTCAAACAAAAAAGAAAATGGCAAGTGTTCTCCGTTGCCCAAGCACAAAATAAGCAACAACAGCCTGTGGACTAGAAAAATGGCACAGTGAGGCTTGCGCAACGTCCATCTCGACTGCAGATTTCCGAAATGTTGTAATCAACTGTTTAAGTACCTCCTACTCGCCCCAGCTGCAATGTTTGTGGCGTCTATTCCAACCAAGCATTTTACAATGTGCCAAAACAAGCGTTGGCCTCCGCGAGCCGAAAATAGTCGAGTGCTGCTGGCTCTGGGAAAGCTCCGAGTCAAAACGCTTTGGCTTTGTCTCAAGAACATGTGTGAGGCTCCGAAGGAAACTCACATGCAATCAACGCTCACAAGAATGCAGAGGTTTTGGGGGATGGCGCATTTTCTGGGATCCATGTTGAGCCTTGCCAAGGCAAAGCGGGTGCAAAGAAATCGCGTTTCGCCCGGTAGACGCTGTCCGTGGTACTTGCGTGGTAGAACCAGGAAGGGAAAACCAAACCTGCCAGACCTCAAGAAGTGAAAGCGCTAGATCTCAGAAGTTGATCAAGGCCCCTGTTACAAACCGTCTACCAAGGGGCTCTTGCACCTCTACCCGGCCTGGTCGATGCAAGCGGAGCTTGTAGTCCTTGATTCGGCCGCTGGTTTGAAGGAACCCGTGGCAAAGGAAACTGGTACATTCAAGGAAAAGTCTAAGGAACCCCGGTAGCAGTTGCGGATTCGGAATCTTCTCAAAGTTGATGGCACCCTCGACACGCTTCGTGCCTACCCAGCTGCAAAGCTTCAAACACTTTGTGGCAAAGACTTTGTGGCAAAAGGCCCGCAAATTCCAATCCGCTGGCGTCCTTGGCCACATGATTGGCCCCGCAACCGCTAGACTTTGCTCAGGTCCAGCTTGGAATGCTTTACTGGACAAGCCTTGTTAGCCAAGCACAAGGCAGTGTGGGCAACAAGCACGCACCTGCGATGTCACAAGGAATTGATGGTGAAGCGTGCAACGCATCGCTACGTTCCTACAGCAACAAGTGAACTTAAGAAATGTGAACCAACCTTGCTATGACGTTGGCGTGTCAAGGCAAGATTGTTCTGCCCATCCAAACCCAGCAAACCCCAGGCGCCCCGGCGAGCCCATGAGTATAATTCTTCAAGGCCTCCATGAAGTCTTTGCTGGAGCCGTCCTGGTGTGGGTCATCCATGCAGCCTTTCTCCGATCCAACGTGAGGCTTGCCGCTCGCGAGGAAGCGGAAGGAAAGCTCGCACGACAGAAACGAGTGGGATTCAGAGCGAACGGAAGAGAAGCAGCAGAAAGGAGCAAAGAAAAGTGCAGAAGAGCGGGCAGAAAAGCTGAGACTGCACATAGAAGGACAAGAAGCTGACAAGGGCACAAGCGAAGGAAGAAGAGCGGGCGACAAGCGAAGGAAGAAATGCGGAGAGAAATGCACGGGGACGAGAGGATAATAGGAACCTGCCAAATCAAATCAGATCTCAACGACAAATGTCATGCAGAAACAAGGTAGAACCTGGAAGAACAGGCAAGCTATGGGAGTCATCAACCTGTAAATGGGAGTCATCCACCTGTAAATACAGGAAGAAAAGCATCCCAGAACCCCTCCAGCTTTTCTGCGCCGCTCCTCCAAGGGCGTGACGTTGAACATCGTCGTGAGGAACTCCGAGCCCACGTACAGCAGGCGCCGGCCCTCAACACCAAAATCAGTCGTAAAATGCCTAAGCTTCTCCAACCAATCCTCGCCTTCAAAACGGAGCTGGGGCTCCCCATGTGAATCTGGAAGCCTTCCTTTTTCGCACACATCGTCAACTTCCCATAAACTGAAGGGCAAAAACTGAATCATTCGGCTGCATCCCCCGCCTCCGGAAGGATCTGGAAGATCTCTACTGCCACCTGAAGGCACCAGCCGTTTGAAGCCAGCGGAGGCTATTTGCAGGGCAAGGGACTTGGCCGCGAGTCGCACAACAAGCCGATTGTGCTTGTTACTTTTGCTTTTGTGTACGATATCTACTATGCTCCATCATGCCTGCCCCCATTCACCTCAGAGCTCTGCATGCCCCCACCGGATTGACAGAGCCCTTCGGCTCAATACGAAACCCCTTGCTATCTTGTGGCCACATATGGCAAAAAGAAAAAACATGGTCCTGTCCGATACAAAATCAGAATAACTGGTTCATGGGGATAGTCGGAAAAACTTCAGCGGAATTTCCGAAAGCCTCTTGTTCAACCCCATCCAGTTTATCTTGATCACTTGCGTTTTGTGCACCGCTTGGCGCTTTGTAGGCCAGTTGTCTCCAAAGCTGTTGCAACCGGGCCACAAGCCTATGATACCTCACAGTCACAACAGCCAAAGGCGCGGGTCAAGCCCTGCTTCGAAAACTTGATGAACATCCGTTGCCCGCATACGTACTTTTTGGTCATGGCTGGTGTCTGTTCGACCGTACTATTCAATGCGTTGCAATGAATGCAATGGGCACCACTAACCCAGATTTTGATGACCATACCATGCTCACCACATTTCAAAGAGGGGCTCTGTGTCTTTTCAGATTGGCGTGTTCACGCCTCGCTCCTGTCCAGCGCCACAAACTTCTCCGAGGCCACCGGTACCGCCGCCTCCGCCAAAAAGAGCGGGCGACAGGTCCCCTCAAAGGGCCACCGGAAAACCGGTGAAAGCGTTTAATGAATAGTCTTCTTCTTTTTGCTTGCTTGCTTGCAAGCGAATAACAGCCCAGCTGGTGTTCAAGCTGCAGCAGCCAATTATGCCTGCAGTATTCAGATTGTTCATTTTGAACATGCCCTTTACGGGGCGTCGGTGGCAATTTCATGCCAGCTTGAAATGTTCCATACAATGGTGGTCTGGAACCCGCAAACGCCACGTACATGAAGTCTCTACTTCGAACGGAATCAAGCCCGATGCCGAGCAACAGCACTCAGCAGCCCCGCTGCACAGCTGTGAGGTTTTCACTGCTTGACCCTGCCACATTAAGTTACAGTCTCTACGATGTCTCAGCCACGACGGGCAAGCTTTTGCCGCGGGGACTTGAACCTAACAGTTCTTGGGTATGGCAAAGTGCAAGGACTTGTACTGGTGGCTGCTACCATCAAACCGAAAAGAAAACGACTATCTGGAGAGACCTTCGATTTTCACATATTCCCATATAGAACCCTCCCGAGCCAAACAATCAACACAAACCTACGAACCGACATAAGCACAGGATACGCAGACGCACACGCAAGCACACGCAAGCACGCACCTGCTCACTCATGCACCCACGCAAGCAGACACTCATGCACACACCCATGCATGCAGACACTCACACACGACCCGCACACGCATTGCACTACACTACATCACAGTACATCCCATTGCATTGCAGTGCATCGCGTTGCATTACATTACAGTAAGTTACGTTCCATCACATTGAATTGCATTGCAGTATACTAGA